AGTGTTTGGGTAAAAAACTACATACAGGGAATGCAGTCTGGCTATACTAACCAGCATGTCTAAGTATCTACAATACTGATTTTCAGAGTGCAACTACACAAGGCTTCTACTGTGAAGAGGAGATTGGCCTAAAAAATACCATTCAGCTCTGGTGCAGAGAAAGGTCCTGGAGAGCTCTGAGTATTTTACTAATGCTAACTCTTTCTTAGGTACCTATCTGACTTTCTATAATGGTTCTCATGTATTTCCTGAAGATTGCAGACTAAGATATTCCTTTTTGTTGACCCTCTGTAGAAGTGAATGGAAGTGTATGACCTGAGGTGCAGGTTGTAACTGCCACTAGCTAGAGCTCACAGTGTTTATACAGAAGCTACATACATGGAATGCAGTCTGGCTGTACTCACTGGAGTGTCTACCTATAGTAACTGATTTTCAGAGTGCAGCTATAGATGTATTGGTTACTTTTCTCTCAATGCTGAAACAAAATACATAACACCAAAAGTTAGAAGGGAAGGGGTTTATTTGGCTGACAGTTCACAGAGGTTTCAGCTGGCTGAAATCAGCCAGCTGTTTCAGCTGTAATCAGCTGGCTCCAAGGCAGAGTTGCAGAGGGGCAGCATTCGTGGCAGAGAATACAGCAAAAGAAACAATGACCCCATGGCTTTCTGCCCCTTTTGTCTTTTTCAGATTAGTTAGGGCTGGTAGCAGTCACACCCTTAATCCTAGTGCCCTCAGGCCTACCTCCACCATGAATCAATTGCACATTGTAGATTCAGCCACCTCCAAAATAGTCTATGACTATGTGAGGCTTTTGAGGGACATCTAGACCCAAGCCATAGTGTTATAGGGCCAGGGAAGTTGCAACTATAGGGATGCACCACACTCTGAATTAAATGGAGTCTTTTATTAGCATAGATGGCATTCTTGAGGGCCCCAGGCCTGCAAAACTCTGGGCAAAGGAAAGGCAGTTTGCATGGCCCTTTTAAGGGCTCTTCTATTTGGGGAGAGCTCAGGGTGAGGGGGAGCACAAGATGAATTTCACAGGAGCAGAACTTTGCTAAATCAATGGGGGTCAGGGGCAGTTTCACACAATTTAATTAAAAGAAAGTATCACACAAGTGCAGGAGTCTTCTGTTCACAAGGTAGTAAAGATAACATAGTTCCTGACTGCTCTACCAAAAGGTCACAAAGATAACATATAGTTGCAGACTGACACAGGATGTGGTGGTCTGTTTTGAATTAACTGAAGGGATTTCCAAGGGGGGAGGAAGGGGAAGGTGACCACCTGGAATCACTGACACTACACAAATGGAGTCAGTCACACAAATGGACTCAGGTTGGCTAATACCATTCCATCCCTGGGCTCACAAATAATTATGTACATTCCTTTACATAAAAGTGTACATTCCTTACATAAAAGTTCATCTCCAAAAGTTGGCAAAGCCCTAACAGCTTCCACATTACTGAAAAGTCCAAGTCCAATGTGTCCTCTGACATTTAATGCAAACTCTTAGATGCAAGACCCTGTGCAAGTGAAAACAGTTAAACACTTACAACATTGAATGGCACAAGATAGACATTTCCATTCCAAAAGTTACAAATGGGGATAGCGAGGAATGGGAACAAAGGAAGACCAAAATCCAGTAGTTCCCACAGTTCCACTACCAGCATCCCTGGTAATATGTGGCAAGTTGTGAACACCAAAGAGTTTGGGTGACTCCACTTCTATGGCACCACCAGTGATTGCAGCTCCCATGGCTTCTCTCTTGGGCTAGGTCTTCTCCCTCCTGGCAATTTTCCTTGAATGTTTCAAGTTCAGGGATTCTCCAAATTTCTGGCATCTCCACTGCACTTTCTGATCCACAGTCACAGCTTCACACACTACCCTCTAAGAGGTGCACTGCCTGACCTCCCAGGCCTTCTTCTGAAATCTGGGTGGAAGCCTTCCCGACCCCAGAACACTTGGATGACCCCAACATCTGCTCCTAACTGGAGCAGTAGCTTTCTTGGCTGTAGGGGTCAACTGCCTATGAACTAAATCCTAAGGAACAACTTCCTGGGGCCACCACTGCTTGGGAACATGGTGCTCTGGGGCTTTCTTCTCAAAGCAAAGTCATTCATTTTTGCAATTTCGAGGCTGCAAAGAGTGGAGTCGGGCTGCTTTTTGTGACGCCTTCAGGCCATCTTTTCCATTCTTCCGTTTCTTCTCAGCAATCAAGATCCTTTCTGCTCTATCTTTATAGTCAACAGCTTTACCGAAACTTCCTTTCTGGCCCAAGTCAAAACATTTTAAATCATTCTGCTGAGCTCTTTGCTCTTCATTCTGAACATAAAGCTGGCTAAATGCCCCCTAAATTAGCCATATCACAACCTCAGCATTAGACAGCCTTGAAATTATTTCTGCCAGATTAATTCATCAACTGCCCTTAATCTCAGTCTCCGGCAACCTCTCTGGACACAAGCAAAATGCAGACAAACTTTCTGCCAAGCCATAACACACATTGTCTGTAGTCCAACGGTCAGTGCAATCATTCTTCCCAGCAGAAACCTCCTGAGCCTGGTCTTTACCAGCAGAATTTCTATCAGCACTCTATTCTTCTGAGCTCTAACCAGGATCCCCCACCAAATACAACCTCAGGGATTCCCATCCTACTTTTTCAGTTGGCATCTCCAAACCTTTCCAATCCCTTCTGAGAAGCCAGCTCCAAAGGTTCCTGAAACAGAGTCAGGTACAGTCCCAGCAATGATCTGACTTCTCTGGAACCAAATTCTGTCTCAGTTACTCTCCTCAGTGCTGAGACAAAATACCCCCAACACTCACAAGTTAAGGGAGGAAAGGTTGCTTATCTCATAGTTTGTAGAGCTTTTAGTCCATAATCTGCTGGTTCCAAGGCAGAGTGGCATAGCAGACAGGTATCACAGAGGAGAAACATTTCAGGGAGGGCAAAAGGTAGCAAAGCAACAAGGGACAACCACAGGTCTTTCTATCCCTTATACCTTATCCAGGCTACTTAGGGTGGGTAGCACTCACACCCTTAAATCCTAGTGCCCTTGATCCTAGCATTGCACTATGAATCCATCCCAGTGTCACACATTGTAGACTTAGCCACCTCTGAAAAAGCCCCACCTGACTGCATGAGGCTTTAGGGGGACATGTAGACACAATCCATGAAAGAATTTGTCCAATGGGAAGAATTCCTCCATTGCAGGAAGCAGATCCCCTTAGTTTTTTTCTAATGTCTGTAGGATGTCCAGTTCTCTTATTTGATTCCTGGTACTTTAAATTTGAGTTTCTCTCAACCCCTGCTCCTCTTTAGTTAGTTTTTCATCAATTTCATTGGTATTTTTAAAAGAAACAGCTTTTCTAGTCAAGTAGTTTCTAAAACTCTCATGTACTTGAAGGACCCTAGTTAGCAAAACAGACTCCATGTTGCTGCTGGACAACCCACCTGCCTGCCCTTTGGATGAACTGAGAAGGAGGAAGCTTAGAAACCTCCTCCCCTTAGAAAGTCTCTTAGAAACAACAATTAATTAACTATTGTTTTACAAATGTTCTAAGGGCAGGAGATTCCACTTCTGTACCTTTTGCTTGCTTTACTAGTTCTATCCCATAGGGGGGAGTAAAAACTGTTGGCCTCAAAGGTGTATAAAATTTGTTAATCTCCCCCCCCTGTCGGGGCTCCAGTCTGATGCTGGGCTCCGGTCCCAGCTGGGAATAAACTCCTGTGTGGATTTAATATGGGCCTCTGGTTGGTTCTTTCTCGCTGGGTGTAATAATACTATCTTGTTTCTTGTCTTTAGTTATGTTTCATGTTGTGGAGACAAAATACCAACCACCCAATGTTAAAGGAGGGAAGGTTTATTGTAGTTCACAGTTTTTAGAGGTTTCAGTGCATAGGTGGCTTGCTCCAAGGGATGGTGGCATGGCAGAGGAGAAACAGTACAGGGCAGGCAGAGGGCAGCAAGGCAGCAAGGCAACAAGAAGTGAAATAGTGAAACAGCAAATAATAATATTCCAGAGCAGCCCTCTTTCTGTTCCTCATATTTTATCCAGACTACATGACCTTAGGGCAGGTAGCACTCACACCCAAGGTGGGCCTGTCCATTATCCACACCCAGAGCTATGCCTAACCAATCGATGGACTAATCTAGTAATCACACACCCTTAATCTCAGCAACACACCCATAACTCCAGCATCACACATTCTATGTCCAGCCACCTCGGCAAAGCCCCACCTATGACCACATGAGGCTTTGGAGGAACATCTAGATACAAGCCATAACATAACCTCAGTTCCCCCAAATAACATCATGCTTGGTGGAAAAAATCTAGAGATATCCTATTAAACATAGAAGTAAGACGAGGGCATTCACTGTCATTATGATTAAATATTTTACTGAAAGTACTGGCTAATGCAGCTGGATTGGAAAAGCAGAGGTAGAAATCTTGGAAAGAAGTGGGTAGAACTCTCACTATTTCAATGATATGATAGTATTCATAGAAACTAATATGGCAAGCTGGCAAGCAATGAAGTAAAAGAGTAATATGCAGGAAATGACCCTTTCCTACATAAAAACAATCTACCATGGATGGTACATTCACTCAGATTAGCCAGTTATAGGCCACTGCTAAAGGCAGCCTGGCTATGCCAAATTGGATTCTGATGCAATTGAGAGTATTTCTCAAAGTGGCCATTTCCTGACCTCAAACATCCCTCACAGACAGCTTTGTGCTCAGCTCTCCTCTTTCTACCACCTAATCCTGTGCTCTTCCTTAGAAATTCTGAAGTAGAGGAGATGGGCGTGGTGGCCACACCTGTAATCCCAGCACACTGGAGGCTGAGGCAGGAGGATCACTGCAAGTTCAAGGCCAGCCTGGATAACATAGTGAGAGTCTGTCTCAAAAATACAAAATGAATGAATGAATAAATAAATAAACAAGAAAAAAGAAATTCAGAAGTAGCAAAACAGACCCTTTCTTTCAATATATGGAAAAAACAGGTGGTGTGATAGTTACCTGATTCTGTCAGCTTGAGTGAGACATGCCCAACTCCATTGGATCAACACAGGGTGGCAGGACCCTCCCTACACCCTCCCTAGGGTGGATTGTTGCCTGAATGGTATAAATGGGAAGTGAAGAAGGAAGAGTTGCCTCTGTTTCCTCCAGGAGCTCCAGTCTTCACTTGTACCTTGGACATCCTCTCCTGGCTTCCAGCACAGACCCTTCAGGCCAAGCAGACTCTGATAAGGACTTGAGCAGGAGGCAACACTGAGGTCCAGGCCTTCAATTGGAAGCTTGGGTCTCTGGTGTGAGACAGCGCTTTTGTACTCTCCCTCATGTGATTCTGTGGACAGCCATTGTAAGTCAATCTTGTAAATTCTTCTATATTTTATATCTTGCATTAAATCTATTTCTCTAGTAGGCACTGACTGATGCAGGTAGGGATGTTTCAGGTAGGGAGCTTTGGCCCATAAGAGACAGAATCCCTGAAGCTGATTTAAAAAGATAAGTGGCGGTTATTGAGCCCTTGTGTGAGCAGTGCTATTTTAGTTTATTTAATCTTCATGACATTTCTATTAGAAAACAATAAGGACACCTATTAGATATATCTGTGGATGTTCAGAGAGAGAGTGAGCTCCAGGTTTGGAATGATGTCACAAAGGACATCTTTCTGAGTCTCCTACGTCCTCAACAGCCGTTTTCCCCCCTTGTGCTAGGAAAGCTTGCTCTTCCCTTAGCTGCTGTTCTTCACTGGGTGGTGACAGACCTGTGTCAGCATGAGCCCAAGACAGAGAATCTTCTAGAAGGCTTGCTGTGAATACTGGGTATGTAAATAAGATCCCTCCCTTCCTGAATTCCCTTGCCGGGTACCCTGTCTGGTCTCAAGAATGTTCTTCAGTATCCACTGAAGTGTCTGGAGTAGGGAAGCTACCCCACCAGGCCTGGGCTGCACTCCTGTTGGAGTGGAGAAGGTGGTTTGTTAGCCCTGGTGGGCAGTAAAGCAAACTGTCCCAGTTGACTGGCGTGCAAGGGGAAACAAGGAGGGCGGGGGTGACAGACAGCTGCTGGCCAAGTCAAAACTTCCTAAGGGCAGAGTGGGGACAAAAGAGAGAGACGGTCTCTTTGTGTCTCACATCCTCAGCAACGTTTTACCCCTTCATACTCCAAGCTCCCTGTGGGGAAGAATATGCTGGTGTAGGCTAAAGCTGGAGCTAGAAAAATGAGCTTAACAAGACCCAGATCACAAGGGCCTCTACATTTTCAGTAGGTTCCATTTCTCTGAAGCTCACTCTAGTTACCCATGTCATAGCCTTGGACTATTTTGGAATCTTAATAGCAATGGGCAGGTGTTGCTAGAGAACTTGTTGACTGAGTCTGGCATGGTGGCACATTCCTCTAATCCCAGCATTCTTGGGGCTTTAGGCAGGAGGTCTGCAAATTCCAGCCCAGCCTGTGTAGCCTGTGTAGTCTAGTAAATTAGCGAGACCCTATCTCAAAATTAAAAAAAAAATTGTATTGTTTTTTCTGGCACTGAGGATAGAACTCATGATCTTGTGTTTTCCAGGTAGGTGGTGCAACACTGAGCTACATCTCTGGCCCTAAAATCAAATAAAAGGATTGGAGATATAACTCAGTGTGAAAGCCCTGGGTTCAATCCCCTGTATCACCAAAAAACAAGACAAGATCCACTGTGTCATTTAACATCATCAAAAAGATTTATTTTTTAAAATTTTTTGAGTCAAGGTCTTGCTGTGTGGTTCAGGCTAGCCTTGAACTTGAAGTAATCATCCTGCCTCAGCCTCCTGAGTGCTGGGATTACAGATATGCTCCACCACACCCAGCAGAAAGGAGAGTTGTTTTTTTTGGTCCCGGGGATGGAACTCGGGTCCTTAGCTTTTGAGGCAGGTGGTGGAACCACTGAACTAAATCCCTGGCCCAGAAAGGAGACTTTTTAAAGGAGATGTTTCTCCAAATGATTGACAAATTATGTAGAAACTTCTGATATACTAGAAAGTCTTGGTGAATCAATTTCTAAATACTTTTTTTTAAATCTCCAAATTAGGTTCTCAGCCTCCTGACTGCCACATCATCCTCCCTGTCTTGGAGTTGCTGACTAGACTGAAATCTCTACCAACTGGTGAGAAAAGAAGAGAAATCTTTGCCCCGTGACTG